ACTGTGGTTGGAACCAGTGTGGTGGCAGTTCTCGGGATGGATGGCACTGGCATGGTGGCACCATCTTGGCAACCAGTTCAGTTGTTGGAGACTCCGAGCCAGGAGGAATATTGTGGCTAGTAACGTAGCGATCGCTTCTGGGGAAGCGGAGATGGAAGTGGATGGCCAAGTGGCGGTGAAAGTAGTTGAAATGGGCATGGTGGTTAAGCAAATTAACTGGTCTCTTTTTTAACCAATTGTTCGCTTTCCCTCCCGGATCATCTGGATTTGTGCACAGCACTGCAGTAGGCTCTAGGCGCTGAACCCAGGTCTGCGGACAGCGTAGGTTACCGTCACGCCTCCAGGAAGCCTCACTCAGATCCACGGAGCTGAGTTCGCCCCAAGAGTCAGAGAGCCCCACGGGAATGTGTAGTTCTTGCAGAGACTGCGGGTTTTCAGATCTGGGAGAGCAGCAAAACCACGGCTCTTCGAGGGGAGGGTTCGCTCGTGTCTAACTGGAGCCTGGTGGAAGCTCCCGGGGCAGGGCTGCTGGTTGGCTTGCGGGCTGACATGAGGTTGATGAAGGGGTCCTTTGGGATAGTGCCAACCGGCTCTGACTCACACCCAGCTCCCTTGGCAGCCAACTGACAAGGAAGCATTTTAAGCTGGTCTGAACCAGCTTCAACTGTTGTCCAAAGAAAGCCTGGGGTGGGCGGCTCCCGATCCAGTTTTGTCCAAAAGCAGTTCTTCCGGCCTCGGCAGCTTCTTCGGGAGCATGACGGTCAATGCTCTGATCTTGTTCTTCTGGAGACCGAGCTCTGCTGGGCCAGGCCGATTGCCCAGCACTCCATCGGGGAGGTCGACGAGCTCATTCTCGGAGCGTCTGAGAACCTTCAGCCAAGAGAGTTTGCTCAAGGCACCCTGGGCAGAGCTAGGGTCTCATTTTTAGCCAGGGGTGAGAATGTGAGATTGAGAAATGAGTCAGATACGCCTGAGGGGGAGAAGGGATTTCACGGACATTCAGATGAAATTCTTCTACGTCCGCAAGATCATTAAACAGCCCTTTCTGGATCTGTCTGATCTGACGGGCTTAGGTCCCGTTTGTTCCAGCTTGCCAGATTTTCAAAGGTACGAACAGCCACTTCCTCTAACCTGGCACCAGAGATTTCCAGTTCCTCAAAAAGAAAAGGAGTACTTGTGGCACCTTAGAGACTAACCAATTTATCCACTCCATACGGCTAAATGCAGTGCCTTGCATAATGACAGTTCCTCAAGTTTCTCCAAGTTAACAAAGGCTCCAACCTCGACTGTCTTGATCTTATAGCCAACGTGTTGGTTTGCACAAAGAGCGGCTCAGGAGTGATGGACCTGGCAGCCTATGGAATCACAACCAACAGAAGAGTTCAAGGTCAAGACTTGCTCTAGGACAGACAAGTACTTCCCTGCTAGAACCACAGCTGTGTGACCCGCACCATCATTACACCGGCTCAGCTCCTGGCCCAGACAGCGCTCCCTTCGAGTCAAGCCTACATCTGCATGAACGCCAGTTCGCTAACAGTGAACAATGGTGCGACAGCCAGCCAGGGGCCCTGCTTGCAGAACCTGGGGTGGAAGGTGTCCTGGTCCACCCCCGCCGCCCCTCCCTGACAAACACACCTCCTTGGTAGGAGTTGGAACTCAGTCAGACTGCTGACAACGAAGCTTCTGTTGCTCTGCAATATTTGTTAATTTCCTCACGATTTCATGAGCCAGCCCTGACTGAGATCAAATCTAGGATCAGTTACCTCCAGGCCACAAAGTTCACCCCCCATGGGCTGTGGGTGTGTACAGATGTTGTGGCCCTTTCACTCCAGGTAGTGCGGAACGAGGGGACAGGTTGTGGGTTTGGGGTAAAGGAGCCCTGCTGCCCCACAGCAGTGAGTCCTTGGCAGAAGCACCCTAGTAACCCAGCGTGGGCAGGGTGCGGAGAGCAGGCTGGGCCAGGCGACTCCTGGCTGGAACGTGCTCTGTGTACAGCGCAGGGGCCGGCGTTTGGGGCCGTGCACGTGGCTCTCAGGAGGTGTGACTGCAGCACGTGTGGACGTACCCGAGCTAGCTAGAGCAAAGCCAGATCCAGTAACAACCCAGGGAAGCCTCAGCAGCATGGGCGGGTGCATGGGCCCCTCCTGCCCGGGACCCTGGGCACATACCCGCGCAGCCAACGCCCATGCGGCTTTGTTGCTGCGGTTACTCGAGCTGACTTTGCTCTAGCTAGGTCGGGCGGGGTCCGTGTGCTGCAGTCAGACCTCCCGGTGCAGCGTGGACACGCCCCAGGACACCAGCATTTAGCCAGTTACACAGTGGTCACTGAGTGGCCACAGTACCCACGCCTCGGAGAGCTCCTCTGCGTGGGGCAGTCCCCAGCCTAAGGGAGGGCAGGATTTAAACCGCTATTGTTACAGCAGCACCCCGCTGTGTGGGGACGCTCATCTTCTGGTGTAAATGGCTTGTTCCGGTTCATCTGAGGTCGCTTGGGAAGGGCGTTAAGCTAGGCCAGGACACATCACTCCTGTGCAGAACGAGAGGGTCCCCGCCGGGCGTTATGTCGCTGTCACTTCAGCGGTTTAACTCTCGCGGTACAGTTATAACTTTGCAGGCAGAGGGGCCAGGGCACCCCAGGGAGTCTGCAGCCCGGCTGGAGGGCACAGCACCAGGACGCAGCGGGAGCTCCCAGCTGCTCGGAGGGCAATGGTGGCTGTCCACCAGGCAGCTCCCTCCCTCGCCGCACTGCCCTCCTGGTGGGGCAGCCCGGAGCGGAGAAGGAACTGGGGGAGGCGCACCCCATGGGGAGAGTGTAAACACAGGTTTTCCTCTAGCCAGAGTGTGCTGGCTGGCTTCCCTCCCGCCCGCGGACGACGTTGTTCGGGGAGCTGGGTGCCCATGTCTCTAGGGCCGATCCTCGGGCTCCAGTTCAGCGGCACCCCCTGCTTTGGGCCATGAGATGGCGCTGCAGCACAGGCCTCTGAATAACTTTCCTCCCCAGCTTGTCACCCGGGGGCGTTATTCTGGAGTCACCAGTGGAGTTTTCACTTCACAACCTGCCTTAATCCAAATTGACTTTCTGGTGCAGACCAGCCTCTCCCGGTGACCCAGCCCTCGCAGCGGGAGGGATCCGGATTGCAGGGGCACACTCGCCACATGCTTGGGCTTCACTTGGCAGGACTTGAGGCTGCAGGGGGCTGGGGCAGCAGCCAGGGAACTAGGAACAGTAGATCAATAAAGCGCGATTCGGTTCATCAGTGACTGACCTGCCTACAGATGGCCCAGCCCAGCCAGGGCTGGAAATGGCCTGGGGGCTCAGCCGGGCTCGGGGGGAGCAGCCGTGCAGGGGACAATTTCCTCTCAGTTGGTGCAGTGGGACCCCAGTACCAGACTTGGGGCCCGTGGGGCCGGAGAGCACAGAACTGCCCAAGAGAAACAATACTTGTATCTACTTTTCTCTCTTTTGAAAAATCCCTCCCTGCGAACGTGGCACGACTGCAGTGAATGGGACCGGTGGCCCCGGGAACCGGAGAGCTCCTTCCATAGCGCGGGCAGCGGCGGTGCGCCATCCGGCTCTGGAGGGGCCCAGGCTACGGTCACCAGGCTAGCCCGGTCCCTGTCTCCTTTGGGCAGCACGCGGGCATGGACGGACCAGCTCACTTCACACCAGCCAACAGGTGGTAACAGCATCGGTGCTGGGGAGCAGCCGGTGAAAGGGTTATAACCCCTCACCAGTCCCCTGTCCAGCCACCCTCCGCCCTTTCCCTCCAGGCGATGGGTATTGTCATGCTGCACTCAGAGGCGTGACTGCCGCTTGGGTAGCTTTCCCTGGGCTACTGCAGCTAGACAGCACTGGAGATGCCGGCTGGACGAGCCCACCTGGGGATGTGCTGGGATTGCTGGAGCCTGCACCCCCGGATCGATAGCGTTTAGCTCGCTAGCGTGGGTAAAGCTGGCAGGGTACGTCTAGCCGGGCTGCACTCACACCTTGGATTGCAGGGTACACACACCCTCCGGGGCCGGGTTAGGCAGCCAGTGCAGTGCACTAAAAACAGGGGGAGGGGGTGAAGCGAGGGCTTTCTTGTTATTATTTGTATTAGCTTAGTGCTGAAGAGAGCCAGCCATGGCCCAGGACCCCAGGGTGTTAGGTGCTGTACAAGCACAGGGACAGGCCCTGCCCCAGAGAGCCTGTAGTTTTTATTACTGAATTAAGCAAAGCCCTGTGCGGGGGGGGAACAGGGACGGGGGGGAGGGGGGGCCCGGGACACGACCCCGTGCTGCCCCGGCCAGCCATGCAGGCAAGCGTCCTACCCCGGGATGATTCTACACAGATCTCGGACGGAGATTTCCTGCCTCATAGACGTGGTTTCTCAGCCTGAGCGAGGGGTTGCTCTGCATGCGGAAGGCACCACAGACTCTCTCAAATAACCTCTGGGACAAGGAATGCACTGAGCACGGACAAATTGCTTTGGTGTCCTCTGCTCCCCAGCCCAGCCAGCCGCAGCTGCAGGCGTGACCTCGGCGAGGGAAGTCACCAAGCGGGGGCTGAGGGGGTGGACAGTTCTGAAAGGACAAACGCTAAGTTTATGACATAGGAGAAGAGCATCACTCACCTGGCCAGACCCTGCACAGCACACCAGCCCCCACCAGACCAACGCTCAGGGGAGACTCAATGGCAAAGCGGCTCCCCGCCCCCCCATCTGTCAGTCAAAGGCCGGTGACTAGCTAGAGGCCTTGGCAAAGGGCTGGCTGTCACTGGGTCCCGGCCCCACGTGACTGCTGTCACTTCCATCCCAAGCCTGTGCACAGACAAAGGGGGAGATCCTCTGGGTGTCCAGCCCACGTACAGCAGAGCCTTCATTCCAGAGAAGGGACGTCACTGTCACAATAGGGCAATCTGCTCTGTGTACCCCAAATACTCCTCCCCCGCCCCTGTGACGCTGGCAGACCAGGCAACAGCTCATGCCAAGCCCTGAAAACTTACCCAGGGTCCCCCTCGCTCTTCCCAGCTGCTCACCGCACCCAGCTCCGGACTGCTCCAGCCCCAGCTGCACCACTCGGTCTCTGCCGGGCTGCTGCTGCTGCTCTGCCTCCAGCCCCCTGGGCTGCTTCTCTGGCCCCTCTGGCTCTGGTTGCTGCAGCTCCGCTCCCAGGACAGGTCTGCTCTGCAGGCTGCTTCTGTGTCTCTGCTCCCAGCACTGACCTGCTCCCCGGGCTGCTTTTCTGGCCCCTCTGGCTCTGGTTGCTGCAGCTCTGCTCCCAGGACAGGTCTGCTCTCTCTGGGCTGCTTCTGTGACTCTGCTCCCAGCACTGACCTGCTCCCCGGGCTGCTCTTCTGGCCCCTCTGGCTTTGGGGCTGCAGCTCTGCTCCCAGGACAGGTCTGCTCTCTCTGGGCTGCGCCTCTGGCTTTGGGGCTGCAGCTCTGCTCCCAGGACAGGTCTGCTCTCTCTGGGCTGCGCCTCTGGCTCTGGTTGCTGCAGCTCTGCTCCCAGGACAGGGTCTGGTCCCTCTGGATCTGGCACAGCTCAGCTTGGCCTCCTGCTTTCCCCTTAGCTCAGCCCCACTCTGTCTGACCCAGGCAAATCCAGCTCACACGGAGGACGGGACCTCCCTGGCCTCCTGACTCCCCGATTAGCCGGCCCGCCCTGTCATTCAGGCTGACCTGGAGCATTGGTCTCTCCCCTTTGTTCCTGGGGGCTGTCAGTCTCGGGTCCTGATTCCCCATCGACCCTTCCCCCTTTTTAGTACTGGGACCTAGCAACTAAAACGCCCCCCCTGAATGTTGGTAAGGGGGCAACAGTCCCCTTACGTAGACATAAGCAAAGAGATGCCCTGCTGCTTGGCCAGGGTCAGCCCTAGGAGACGGTTTGAACTGCCAGATTACTACAACCCTGTCGCCTTTTGAATCGGCTACACTGCCAGCTCATGTCGGTTTAACTACATGGAAAATCCACCGCCCGAGCGACGCTGTGATCCCCCCGGTGCAGACAGCGCTACCTGCATGGGAGGGCTTCTCCCGCCAACACGGCTACCGCCTCTCGGGAGGTGGAGTAACTACACCGATGGCAGACGTTCTCCTATCAGCGTAGGTAGCATCTTCACTAAGTGCTCCAGCAGGCAGCAAGTGCAGACGAGCCCACAGACTGACACTCACTGGTGTACGTACAGCTGTTGCTTTAACCTGTAATTAACTCTCTTCTTTCTTGATCCTAGTTAGTTTATTACGGGACGGGCTACCAGCGCTGTCTTTGGTGTGAGGTCTCTGATACAAATTGACCTGGGGTAAGTGAATGGTCTTTTGGGACTGGGAGCAACCTGAATATTGTGTCATCCTTGGTATAACTGACTATTTATCCCTGAGTCTTGCCTGGGTGGCACGACAGACCGGATTGCCCAAGGGGACTGTCTGGTAAGACGGTTACACTGCTTCAGGTGTTCACATCGGTTACCAAGCTGGTGAAATCGAATTGTAGAACATGCAGCCAGTCTGGGGTCTTGGCTCTCAATTGGCCCCAAGCTTCATGCAAACGGTCATGAACCGCTCCAGACAGCATGACACCCCCCCACTCATTTGGGGGCCCCTGTGTCCCAGCTGAAGACCAGGGCCTGATTTCCAGAAGCGCTGAGCAAACGAGAGGAGGATTGCTTATTGAACCCCCCACCCCATCTCTGTGCCTCTCCCAACCCTTTGCTCTGTCCTTCATCCCTGCTGGGTTAGGCTGCTATAGACCATAAATACTCTGGCGTTTTGGAGCTGGTGCCTTGGGCCTGGCTATTCAATAATTCACTCCCAGCTGACACCAGCGGAAGTGAGGTCAGAATCAGGCCCCTCCCTGCTGGTGTGTCTGAGGGACACCCTGGGTAACTGCAGCCCTGCATGTATTTATCTTGGTGATTGCGAGGACGCCCCTTTGCCCTGGGGTGCACTGCCGGAACGGGGGAGGCAGCCTCACCCTGGGAGCCGCCTCACTTTCTTTACGGTGGGAAACTCTGAACTAGGAATAGCGTTTAATTAAACTTGAGCTACAACCAATACACAGGGATGCACGTAATCCCGTAACAATGCCCCGCTCTCAGACAGCGCTTCGGGGACAATAAAGGCACAGAGCAGGGGACAAATGACCTGAACAGTAGCAACCCATCACTCCGGTTGTGACTTTTAATGGCACCAGCCCATTGGGAAGAGCTCCGGTCTAGGGCTCAGAACGGGGGTTGAGAGAAACAGCCTCTTCCTCTCTCGCCATCCCTCCTGGCTCTGCACGGATGGCAACCGAGACCCTCACTCTGCCACAGCTGGAATTCAAGACCCAGTTGCTATCGTAGGCCGGTCCCTGGCCAGTCGAGGCCCCTTGTGGAGGGAGATGAACAGTTAGCCGGTGGCATGCGGCTGCATCACAGGTGAGCTGCACGGTGCCTTCGGGGTCACTGTAGGTGCATGGGGCCCGGTCTGTCTCTGCCTCTCCCGGGGACAAGGAGGAGTCTGCCTGGCCTGGAGCAGCCAGACACACCAGTTGCTCTTGAGGTAAAGCTGGGAGCGCCCATCCCTTTAAGTGATCAGGGCTTGCGCAGAAGGTCTGAGAGTTCAGGGGCGCAGACCAGGTCCGGATCCAGCTGGCAAGAGAGGCCAGCCGGCAGTCACACACCCAGGGGTTGTCCTTCATGGCCACGCCGAGCAGGTAGTCATTGAAGTCGAAGATCCCCTCGGGCAGCGCCTGCAGGCGGTTCCCAGTCAGGTCCAGCACCTCCAGGCTGGTGAGGTTGTGGAAGGCGTCCCCGGCCAGGGCGGTGAGGTTGTTGTGGTCCAGCTGGAGCGTGGTGAGGCCGGAGAGGTCTCTGAAGGCCCCAGCGGGCAAGTGAGTGAGCCGGTTGTGTGAGAGCACGATGGTCTGCAGCTCTAACAGGTTGCTGAAGATCCCCTCAGGGATGGTCTCAAGCCGGTTGGAGGCGGCGAAGAGCTGGCTCAGCTTAGGCGTGCCCCGGAGCAGGCCGGCGGGGAGCGCAGAGAGGCGGTTGCCCTCCAGGTTTAGAAAGTCCAGGCTCGGCAGGCAGGAGAAGATGTAGGGGCGCAGGCCGGTGAGGGCATTGTGCTGAAGCTGCAGCCTCCGCAGGTGGGTGAGCCCGGAGAAGGCTCCCGGGGGCAGATCCGCCAGCGCGTTCCTGTCCAGGGAGAGCTCTTGGAGGCTTCTCAGGCGCCGGAAGGTGCCGAGTGGGAGGCGGGCGAGGCTGATGTTGCTCAGTTTCAGCACTTGGAGCCGGGCGAGCGGGTCGAACAGCCTGTCGGGCACCTGGGCCATGGGGTTGTGAGACAGGTCGAGCACCCTCAGCTCCCTCAGCGGGGAAAAGATCTTGGGGGGCAGGGCCTCTATCTGGTTCCCTTGCAAGTGAAGCGCTTCCAGGCCGGGCGTGCGGTTGAAGAGCCCCGGCTCCAGGGCTCGGAGGGCGCTGAAGGTGAGGGAGAGTTTGCGCAGCTCCAGCAGGCTGCCAAAGGCCTCGCTGCTCAGGGCTGACAAATTGCTGCCTGACACCTCGAGCTCGGTGAGGCTGGGCCTCTCCCCAAAGGCGCCCGCTTCCAGGGACAGGCTCGGGTTGTTAAGGAAAACGAGCCTGGCGAGGCTGCTGTGGTTGCTGAAGAGCCCGCTCCCAATAGTGGTGAGGGAGGTCTCCACAAAGAAGAGCTGAGTGGCATTGCCTGGCAGGCCCTCGGGGATGTCCCAGATCTCCTCCCCGGAGCAGAATACCTTTGTTCCATCATAGCACTGGCAGGGGGGCGGGCAGGCCTGGGTAAACCTGCCCAGCAGCAGGCCCTGGAGACACAGCAGCAGGGGTCTGGGAAGCATCATCCTGCACTAGAGAAAAACACACCGGTCAATAGCCCCTGGCACAGCCCCTTTCTAGATGCACCGGGCCCCCGCCAGCTCCGCGGCAATGCCATTGGCTGCAGGCTGGGCGGGGGGGACTGGAAAAGTCACAGAAAGCGGGAGCTCACCAGAGGCTGCAGGGTTTCCTTTAAGGCAAAGGTTGCTCTGGGTGACAGCTGTCTGGTCTGAGGTCGGCTGGTCTCACCTCTGCCACCGTGGGGCAGGGCAGGCTGCTAGGGATCTCCACCAGCTCCCCATGGTACAGCCATGGGCAGTGCCTCTCCCGCAACAATCCCTGCCTCCGGAGATCTGGGGATCTACTGCCTTCACCCAAAATCTTCTCCCTGCAGCTCGGCAGGGAGCCTCCCCCCGACCTGGCAGCCACTGGGTGCCCAGCTCCTGCATGTGGCCCCACGTCGCAATCCTGCACACCAGCCCCCCACTCCAGTGGTCCCACTGCAGGCAGCTCCCTCCAGCCAGGTGGGGGAGGCGGGATTTGGGGGGACGGGCGGGAATCCCGATAGAGCTGCTGGGAAGTGACATGAGAGGCAGGTTAGGTCCCCCCGGCTACGCAGCGGCAGGAGCACAGGCCTGAAGCAGGGGCAAGACGAGGTTTAGTCCCTGTTCTGCCATGGAGCCATCGTGAGGCCTTTCCCGAGGGACAGTGGCTGGAGCGGTTCGGGGTGGGGGGGGCCTGCAGTTGGGCTTGTGATCCCAGAGGGAGGCACCCAAGGAAGTGGCCCAGTTCTCAGCCCTGCCGAGTGCAGGCTTAGGCTCAGTATTTCGCAGATTGCTCTGAGCCACTCACACAACTGGTGCCGTCAAAGTCTTCTTTGGCTTATCACCTTTAAGGGCAGCAGCCAGGGCCCATTTGTGATTCAGGGCCCAGGACCCCGCCCACCCTAGACCTGCCCCTCTCCTCTAAGCAGAGGGGTTTGTCTCTGCCACGTCTCCGTGGCCGCCTGCTCATGCAGTCTTTGTTATTAGACCCATGTGCTGGGCTGGGAGCAGAACCACATCCGGGCTTTGTGCCAGGAGGGGAGAAGGATCCCTCAGGCCTACTGCTGAACAGGCCAGACGCTGCGCTTGGTGACACCAGGGGAATTACTAGCGAGTTACGCTGAGTCAGCAGCCTCACTGCAGATTTACACCGGGGGGACAGAGCTGGCCTGGCCCCACAAGTGTGCACTTGACACTGATGTTTGAAATCGGTGGTGAAGAGTGATTAGGCCTCACGGCTAGTTAATGTGCACATGTGGGGAGCAGGAGGGATTCAGGGGGGCGAAAGTAAACGTCTAACTGGAGTTTATTACCACATCTGAGGAGGACACAGTCAGACACTTGATAGGTTTAGGAATATACCTGTTCTGCGCCAAGGCACCTGTCGCTCTTACGTACATAACTTCATTACCCGGTGTGACGATGTGACTCAGCAGGGAGGGGGGAGTGTTGACCTGGGAATGTGCCCTGGGGATGGGAGACCTGAGAGCCTGTCACCTGAGCCAGGAGGGGGAGGGGAGGTGACACCTCTGCCCAGGAATGTGAACAGAGGCTGCAGCAGGGAACCTGCTGGGTGGGTTGAGTTGGCAGTTTGGAGGCTGGGGGAGGAACACAGGGAACCCCAGGGCTGGGGTCTAAGCTCCCTGCTCCCCCAGAAGGACGTGATTGAGGGGTCCTGGTTGTACCCACAAGCTCTGTTGTGGACTGTGTTCCTGTTGTCCAATAAACCTTCTGTTTTACTGGCTGGCTGAGAGTCTCAGTGGATCCCAGGAAGAGGGGTGCAGGGCCTGGACTCCCCACACTCCGTGACAACTGGTGGCAGTGGTGGGATCTACTGCACCCCGTGAACGGCGCTTCCTGCAGTAAGTGACTGGGGAACAGTAAAACGAAGGGGAATTGACGGGGACCAGGCGTGCTGAAGATTCAGAGACGGTTTCGGGGGCGGTTAACCCCTGGGAATGTGTGACCAGAGAGAAAGACTTTGCAGTAACAGGGTCCCCGGGGATTGCAGCGAGCAGTCCCAGGGGCGGAGGAGTCTGCAGCTCGACCCTGGCAAAGAGGTGGTGACCTCAAGAAGGACTGGCACACTAAGGGCTTTCCTGGAAACCGTGGGAAGCTGCCCGGCCTGCGAGTGGCCAGCAGGGAGATGTACGCTAAACGCCTTAAGAGTGACCTGGTGGAGCTGTGCAGGCAGAGGGGGCTGCGCATGGGAGGTCCACCAAGGAACAACTGATTGCCCAGTTGGAGGAGAGGGATCGCTTGGATGACCCGATCCCTACCCTGAGGGGAGCCGCCCGGCAGACGCAGCGTGGGCCCTGGGGCCTGACCGGGCTGGGAGGGGTCAGACTGCTGCCGAGGACATCCCGAGACCCTTCCTACCTATGTCTGGGGGAGGGGTTGGGGGAAGCCCAGCGGATACCGAGGCACCCTGACCCCAGCACCCAGCAGGGGATCCTCCCGGCGGAGCTCCCCATCCCTGGAGCGGAGGCGGCTGGAATGGGAGAGGGAGATGAAAATGAGGGAGCTGGAGGATCATGAAAAACAACGTCAACATGAGCAGGAGGAGAAGGAGAAACAACGTCAACATGAGCAGGAGGAGAAGGAAAACAACGTCAACATGAGCGTCAGGAGAAGGAGAGGGAGCGCCAGGAGAAGGAGAAACAAAGACAGCACGAACTGGAGCTGGCCAGGCTGAAGAGCAGTGGGGCCCCGGCTGTGGTGAGTGAGGGGGACCCAAGACTGCAAGGAACTTTGATAAGTGCTTCCTGGCCCAGCGTAAGGAGGGGGAGGACATAGATAGCTTCCTGACGGCCTTTGAGAATGCCTGTGAGCTGCACAGGGTTGACCCTGCAGACAGGCTCCAGTTTCTCACCCCCTTACTGGACCCCAAAGCCGTGGAGGTGTACAGCCGGATGACAGGGCCGGAGGCAGGGGACTATGAACTGTTCAAACAGGCCCTGCTCCGTGAGTTTGGGCTGACCCCGAGATGTACCGGAGAAGGTTCCGGAGTCAGCGTAAACGCCTGAGGTCACCTACCTACAACTGGCCAACCGGATGCAGGGGTATGCCCGCAAGTGGACAGCGGGGGCCCGAGCTAAAGAGGACCTGCTTGACCTAATTGTACTGGAGCAGCTGTATGAACAGTGCCCTTCCGACCTGAGGCTGTGGTTGGTGGACAAAAAGCTCGAGAACCCCCAGCACGCAGGGCAGCTGGCCGACGAGTTTGTGAACAGTCGGTCAGGGGGTAGGGGAGGAGTCCCAAAAGAACAGGCCCCCCGATGCAAGAGAGAGTCACCAGGGGGCCTCCCAGCGGGGAAATAGGGAGAACCCCCTCCCGAGGGGAACGCCTGGCGTCGGGCCCTCCGACCCGCTCGAGGGGACCAACGTGACCTGAGCTGCTATCACTGTGGCCAGAGAGGCCACGTACGGTCCCAGTGCCCTGGGCTCAGGGACAAACTGAGCAGACCCAACCTACCCAGGGTTAACTGGGTAGGGACCCAGCTGGACGAGGGGCAGACGACTCAGGCAAGGGGGCTGCCAGTTTACCACCTGCCCCGGAGGGAAGAGTACCCCAGGCCAGCTCCACCAGAGGGCTGGAGGCTCTGGACTCAGGGCGCTCAGTTTACAGGGTGGGCGCGGGGCTGTCCCTCCGGAGAGAGTGCCTTGTTCCCTGGAGGTAGATGGGAGGAAGGTCAATGGATACTGGGATACGGGTGCGGAGGTGACGCTGGCCCGGCCCGAGGTGGTGGCCCCAGATCGGGTGGTGCCCAACACCTACCTGACCCTGACAGGGGTGGGTGGGACCCCATTTAAGGTGCCCGTGGCAAGGGTACACCTGAAATGGGGGGGCCAAGGAGGGCCACAAGGATGTGGGGGTACACCACCATTTGCCCACTGAAGTTTTGATGGGGGGAGACCTAGAGGACTGGCCAAGCAAGCCCCAGACCGCCCTGGTTGTGACCCGTAGCCAGAGCCGGCGAGGGCCACTGCTCCCTGACCTCGGGGAGGGTACCGCACCGGAGGCGCAGGACCCTACCCTGGTGGGAAGGGAGGGCCGAGGGGCACGGCTCAGAGAGGCTGAGGCCTCAGACCTGGCCACTGAGGGGGAACCGGTCCCCATCCCTTCCCCAGCCGCTGAGTTCCAGGCCGAGTTGAGGAAAGATCCTCCTTGCGGAAGCTCAGGGACCTGGCCGACCTCAGGGTGGTACGGACCATGAGGAGAGGCTGCCAGGAGAGGTTCCTGTGGGAGACGGGGTTCCTATACCGAGAATGGGCTCCCACAAGGGAAGTAGAGTCCTGTGGGATCAGGAGGCAGCTGGTGGTCCCCCAGAAGTATGCCGCAAGCTCCTGTACCTGGCCCATGACATCCCCCTCGCAGGGCACCAGGGAATCCGGCGCACCCGGCAGAGGTTGCTACAGAACTTTTACTGGCGGGTCTTTACCACGGTCCGGCAGTATTGCCGATCCTGTGACCCCTGTCAGAGGGTGGGGAAGGCCGGGACAAGGGGAAAGCGGCTTTGAGACCTTTGCCCATCATAGAGGAGCCTTTCCAGAAGGTGGCCATGGACATCATGGGGCCTCTCAGCAGGACGACCCGGTCGGGGAAGAAATACATTCTGGTGGTGGTAGATTTTGCCACCCGCTACCCCGAGGCAGTGCCCTTAGCTTCCATTGAAGCAGACACCGTGGCCGATGCGCTCCTGACCATTTTCAGCCGAGTGGGGTTCCCAAGGAAGTCTTGACAGACCAAGGCTCCAACTTCAGTGGCCCTGCTCCGGTGCTTGTGGGAGAAATGTGGGGTCGGCACGACTGGGCCTCAGCTTATCACCCCCAGTCCAACGGGCTGGTGGAGAGGTTTAACGGGACGCTAAAGATGATGCTGAAAACCTTTATGAACCAGCACCCACAGGATTGGGACAAGTACTTACCTCACCTGCTGTTCGCGTAAGGAGGTGCCCCAGGAGTCGACCGGATTTTCGCCTTTCGAACTGTTATATGGAAGGAGGGTGAGGGGCCCCCTGGACCTGATGAGAGACGAGTGGGAGGGGAAGGCCACTCCCGATGGAGAGTCAGTGGTGGAGTATGTCCTGATCTTCCGAGAGAGACTTGCTGAACTCATGGGCCTGGCAGGAGAATCTGGCCAGAGCCCAGAAGAAGCAGAAGGTCTGGTATGACCGCACGGCAAGGGCCCGTGCCTACGCCACCGGGGATCCGGTGATGGTTCTCATCCCAGTGAGAAAGAACAAACTACAGGCTGCCTGGGAGGGCCCTTTCAAGGTCGTCAAGCAGCTCAATGAGGTAAACTATGTGGTGGAGCTGTCGAACCGGGCGCACCACCGCCGGGTGTACCATGTGAATATGATGAAGCCATATTATGCCAGGGGGAATGTGGTGTTGGCCGTGTGTGGACAGTGGGAAGAGCAGGGAGATGACCCTTTAGTGGATCTATTCCCTGGGACTAGAGCTGGTTCCCCCTGGAAACAACCCTCTCGGATCAGCTAACCCCTGCCCAGCAAGATGAGGTCAGGGAGGTGCTGCATCCGTACCGACAGCTGTTTTCCAACCAGCCTGGACGCACTAATCTGACTGTCCACCGGGTGCAGACAGGGTCGCACCCGCCGATAGATCTCCCCCTTCCGAGTCACAGGGAAAACTGCTCAGGACCTGGAAAGAGAGGTCCGGGAATGCTGGCTTTGGGGTGATCAGCCCTCTGCCAGCCCTTGGGCCTCGCGGTGGTGCTGGTCCCCAAAAGGACGGGTCGGTCCGGTTCTGTGTGGACTATCGGAAGCTCAATGCCATCACTGTATCTGATGCCTACCCCATGCCCAGGCCTGATGAGCTCCTAGACAAGCTGGGAGGAGCTCGGTACCTTACCACCATGGACCTTACAAAGGGCTACTGGCAAGTGCCGCTGATGCAGATGCCGACTGAAATCGGCCTTTATCACCCCTCTGGGGCTCTATGAGTTCTGACCCTGCCTTCGGCCTCAAGGGGGCGGCCACCTTCCAGCGCCTGGTGGACCAGCTCCTGAGGGGATGGAGAGTTTTGCGTGGCTATATTGATGACATCTTGTCTTTAGCCAGACCTGGAGGACCAGTGTCCCAGGTTAGACAAGTGCTGGACGATCCAGGGGGCTGGGCTGACTTAAAGGGAGAAGTGCAAGGTGGGGATGGCGGAAGTGTCTTACCTGGGCCATCGGGTGGGGAGGGCGCCTAAAGCCGGAACCAGCCAAGGTGGAGGTGATCAGAGACTGGCCCGCTCCCCACACCAAAAAGCAGGTCCAAGCCTTTATTGGGATGGCAGGATACTACCAAGATTTGTGCCCCACTTTAGCGCCATAGCCACCCCATCACTGAGCTATGCAAGAAGGGGAAGCCAGACAAGGTGGTCTGGACCGAGCAGTGCCAGGAGGCTTTCCGGGCGCTGAAGGAGGCTCTGGTCAGTGGCCCAGTTCTGGCAAACCCAGACTTTGACAAGCCCTTTGTGGTGTTCACCCGCCTCCGACACGGGACTGGGGGCGGTGTTAATGCAGGAGGATGAAAAGGGGAGGACACCCCATCGTGTACCTGAGCAAGAAGTTGCTGCCCGGGAGCAACACTACGCGGCCATCAGAAGGAGTGCCTGGCCATGGTGTGGGCCCTCAAGAAACTAGAGCCCTATCTCTTCGGGCGGCACTTCACCGTGTACACCGACCACTCGCCCTGACCTGGCTGCACCAGATGAAAGGAGCCAACGCCAAGCTCCTGAGATGGAGCCTGCTCCTGCAGGATTACGACATGGACGTGGTCCACGTGAAGGGAAGTGCCAACCTGATAGCGGATGCGCTGTCCCGGAGAGGGGGCCCCGAACTTCCCCAGGTCACTGGTCACAGTGACCCCGCTCAGTTCAGTTCGAAGGGGGAGAGATGTGACGATGTGACTCAGCAGGGAGGGGGAGTGTTGACCTGGGAATGTGCCCTGGGGATGGGAGACCTGAGAGCCTGTCACCTGAGCCAGGAGGGGGAGGGGGGGTGACACCTCTGCCCAGGAATGTGAACAGAGGCTGCAGCAGGGAACCTGCTGGGTGGGTTGAGTTGGCAGTTTGGAGGCTGGGGGGAGGAACACAGGGAACCCCAGGGCTGGGGTCTAAGCTCCCTGCTCCCCCAGAAGGACGTGATTGAGGGGTCCTGGTTGTACCCACAAGCTCTGTTGTGGACTGTGTTCCTGTTGTCCAATAAACCTTCTGTTTTACTGGCTGGCTGAGAGTCTCAGTGGATCCCAGGAAGAGGGGTGCAGGGCCTGGACTCCCCCACACTCCGTGACACCCGGCCCTTAGTAAAGGAATGTTCTGTAGAATTGGTCTACACTCACGTGTCTAACAAACTTCAGGGTTAGTGAGCCAGATCCTCAACTGGTGTAAATGAGCATAGCTCCAGTGACTTTAATGGAGAGATGCCAACCTAGGCTAGATGAGACTCTTCCCCATTAGGCCTGGTTTTATGTAAACAGGTCTCCGTGCATTGCACACATTCAGTGACGCGCCTGCTTTATGCCAGTACCATTCTGTATGCATTTGGAAATCTGTGGTTTGCTGGTGTACAAAGGCACTTATTTTGCCATGCATGTGCACAATCAGGGATTTAGAACACCTGTGTAGCAGCGTGCGTGTGCAAAGTAGGTGCACAAGTCACACTTCAGCATCAAAGGTTTAGTGAGATTGTAGGGGTGTGTCTGTGCACAGGCAAAGTGGCCTAACTTTGTATGTGCACTGCCAAGAGTATAAACACAATGCCCTGATTTGCACGTACTCCCTTGTAACTCCCTAGCTCTCACGGCTACAACGCCCAGCCAGAAAGAGGGACAAGGAGGAGTCTCTAGGAAGCACCTCTCACATTTATAGAACCCAGTTAACATTTCAGACAAATCCACCAACCATTTCATATTTTCCCCAACCTGAAAATACGTGGTGAGCTTTGAGTTTTGCACAACACCTGCTATCAGATGAACCTTTGTTCCCTTTCCCAGACCATACTGGGTGAGCTGAATAGCGGCAGCCAACTTTGGGTGACATTTTACTGTCCCGATGACTAGTCCTAGTCTATATGGAATCAGACAGCGATAGAGATTTCAGACCGCCCGAGCAATGAGCAGCCTCCAGAACACAGCTCTTATCTGCAGTAGCCAAAAGCGTGCACTAGTTACACCGACGAGATATCTGGCCAACTTCTGCTCTCCACGGCACTGCTGTCAACCTAGAGTGATGCCACTGATGATATTAGAGACACTCTGAATTTACACCAGGGCAACAGAGCTGGATTTGACCCACCCTTTTCAGGTGTACTACCCAAGCTGTTTTTCATGCAAAGCCAAAAGCAGCTGTAAAAGTCCCCGTTCCTGCCAACAAACCCAGGATCCCTAGCACCCGAGAGGAGTGACAATGCGGACACCTACCGTCGAACCAAGCCAGGCAGTGGGCGCGATTCCTCCATTTCCTCGCAGGAGGGACTTGCCCCTTCAAATAGCAACATGTTTACTGAAAGGGACATGGAGCCAGCTGACTGAGTACTTTCAGACTGGGTGGGGCCAGTGATTTCTGCTTAGCATCAACATCCTGTGTCCTGAGAGCGCTCTGAAAAGATTTAGTGTGTCGGTGTGAACAGAGATAAACATGTTGCTTCTCAGTAAACGAAAGAGCAGCATACCACCACCACTGACCGGCTCCCCCAAAACAAAGGCACTTTCCAGAGCGGGGGACAGCTTCTGGAACACCCAGCATCAGCACTTACTAAAAATATTAGAGTGCGATCAGCTACGCTTTTAAATTCCCCCTTGTCTTTAATGAAGCTCACTCAAGAATGGACCTAGCAAAGTGGGTAGAATATAAAAATCTGATGCTTATCGAGCACCTTTCATTTAGGAGGATCTCACAGCTTTTTACAAACTGCCTGCATAGTAAAGGGGTCTCTCACCCACGCCTGAAAAGCAGCCACCACTGGGGTGGAATGCAGCAGCTGCTTGACACAAGAACACCGCCCAGAGCTTTTAGGGGAGGAAGTGACCAGTAACTTCTCCTGTTGCTACCAAAGGGGAAATGAGAGGGGTGCAGAATGTGCCCCTTAGAGACAGAAATCCAGATGCAAACTGCAACCCCGCACACGCTTTGGGGAAGCTCAGATCCAGGCCACACCCCAGCTTCTCTGTTAAGGCCTTTTAAACAACTGCACAGCTCGGCCCCATCAACATTAAACCGCACAGCTCAGCCCGTCCCTAGCCATTAGGAATTGGACAGGATCTAGCACTAACACTGATGATCTTGCAGAAAGTTCCACGGGATTCTTCGTAAACCACAAGGGTTTGAGGGTTTGGTTTTACATCTCATCCGAAAGGCATCCCTTCCAGAGTGCAGTCCCCAGGGCCAGACTGGGCACGCTGTCAGAGTTCAGACAGACAACCACCATCTCCTGATCAGCCAGCACTGCTTCCTGCAGCCCTTGGGGCCCCTGGCTAGCCTCACATCCAGCCCCCAGGCTTGCTTGGCATGGGAGAGCAGAGATCTTGGCCAGCTGTGAGATGGCCAGAGAGACACCCTGTTCCCCAGGCCCTGTCAGTGAGTCCTCGCTCAAAGGACCCCCCTCAAGGGCCAAGAGAAAACAGTTGCCCAAGCTAGCAGGGGGGCTGGATGTTGTATTTAGTAAATCTGGGGGGTCGCTGGCGGGGAGATGGTCGCATACCTGAGGACGTCGTCTGGTAAGGGGGGGTTCTTGTACAGGTGTCACTGGCTGGCTGGATGCCCAGAGCTGCTACTGTACGAAACGTATCGTTTTCAGTCACTTCTGTCATAGTCACATCAGCAACTGGCTCTCTAAAGCCAGACTAAGCCCCCGGCTGCGGTGGGTTGTTTTAAGTGCCTCTGAGCTCCTGCTCTCTGCGGGGTGAGACTGGGCCACGGAAGGTCGGAAGCGTCTCTTGCTGTAGAAGCAGAAAAAGAAAAGCCAGACTCAGCACTTTGTCAGCTGAGTTAACGTGAAGCAACCACTTCCTCTCAGCTGTGCTGGGCTCAATGTACTTTCTGCCCCGCGGTGAAACCCGCAGCTGCCCCATAACACGCCTAACAGTTCAGTTCCCGGGTCTAACGAAGCGCCCGAGAGGAGCAGTGCGGTGAGTCCCCACTCGCTCACGCTGCTGCAAGTCAGCCGTAGCACCGCTGACGTCGAGGGCACTATTCCAGCACGACCCTGGTGCAAGCAAAAGGTGATGAGATTCTTCATCGGGGCTGGCATGGCGTTCTCTGACCCATTTCAGACAGGCCCGCCCCACAGCTATCACATGGCACTGGCTCCCCGTGAGCTAGAAATGCCCAGGTCCTGCCCCTGGGTCAGCCAAGCCCACACACCTGAGTTTTGTCACCCTAATCGCCTCCTGCACCTGTCAGGGTGCTGCGGCAGGTTCTCAGCTGGGGCACCACAGCGTGTCCCCGTTGCCGTCCGTGGCCATGGGGTTACGCTGAGCCACAGCCGCTCAGCGGCCGGCGCGGTGTGTTCAGCACGCTTGTCGAAGGACCAGAAAATAACTGCCAGGTTATTCGCACGCGCGGGCTAAGGCCCCACGCGCTCTGGGAGTGACACGGCCACTCAGTGTGTCGACCGCAGAGGGCGTGGCACACACCAGGCAGGACTGGAACCGAACGGGCACGGTGCGTTTTCACACGCTTGCAGGCGGTTTCGCACAGCCAAATGCGTTCCTCTGAATAAAACCTGACAGGAAGGTGCTGGGGCAGGAATCACCAGGTGAGCAGGAGTTGGGCCATACAGAGCTACAGGGCTCTTTACAGGCCTCCGTGGCTGGACGTTCACCCTCTCCCTGTCAGTGCCCTAGAGCTCCCAGGGGTGCCCATGGCTAGTCTTGTGTCAGCCTCAAGGCAAGCAAACCCAGTGGTGGGGTCCCTGGTTAGGCTTAATAAAGACATTCCCCCTCTCTTACACCAGTTTTTCTCCCCAGAAAACTGTGCTGACCCCAGTGCGGGTCAGTCCTGACGGACACCAGGGTGTGAGTGAGAAGGAGGAGGTGGGTGTGTGGAGGGGGAATCTGGCCCTTTATATTTCAGTGCCGCCAATAGGCACCATCCACACATGCTCTCCTCCAGCCAGTGGCCTCCTGCTGGCACAGAGCCAGGGCAGGACAGCCACCAGAAACGTAGGGTTTGCTGTGGCACAAGGGAAGGGGGGCGCCTGCAAGCAGCCAGCACAACCCCAAAGATGGCCAGGACAGCTGGGACGTGACCTGATTCCCCCCCCCAACACACACACACACCCCCTGCAGTCTCAGCCGGCAGAGCCCCTGTGGATGGGACAGTGGTGAGCGTGCCGTCTGCCCACCCAGGGCTGAAGCCCGCTGGACACAGCAGGCCTTGCTGACCCTGGTGGGGAGGCGGATCCAGCCTGGTGTCCGCTCTGCCACGGCACCTCCATAGCGACACCGCTGGGCTCGCTTTTCCCAGCGGGCCGCCACAGTGATAGGGCCACACAGGGGCTCAGCTGCCCCACTGGCCTGGGTGCCAATCAGGGGCCAGTCACCGCAGGGAGAGACCGGGGCTCAGCACTCCAGGGGATAAGCAATTGAGTCACCTGACTGGATACAGGATTTCTGGACCTTAAAAGTGTATCAAGCAAAGCACCGTCTCGCCCCTGGTGACATGCTACGCCTGCCTGTCAGTGCATGCCGTCTCCACAGCTGGGGTGTAACGAAGTGTGCGTGTGTATGCTGGAAGTGTGTTCTGTACGTAGGTTTTGGAGGCAATGGGTATACCAGCCTGTCCTAGACAAAGGAACGGTGTTTCATCTGCCTGCGTCTCCCCGGTAAAGTGAGCGCAGAGACAATGGAAGGACATTTACGTCTAAGGTAAACTGCGATTAAGCCACCTGGAGAACCAAATTCACCAGCCTGGGAGGGACACAGCCTGCAGCCTGCACAAGCAGCAGGGGAGAAGCCGTTATCAAGGGCCTACCTCTCCACGCGTCACGGGACGCTGAAAGGACGGAGAGGGAACCCCCAGTCGCCTAGGGGACAGCACCCGGGAGTGGTGGATGCAGGGCCGGGAAATGCTGGTGGCCTGATGGCAGCGAGGCAGCTGTTGAGGGAAGATGGTAGCTTGCGACAGACAGACACTGAAAGGCCTGTTTGGTTTTGTTTGTGACCATTTGCTGTTTTCTATGATCTCTGCTTATCATCACGTCAGTCTCTGAGCTTTACTAAGGAACGTACTAGTTGTACTCTCAGCCGTCTCCATGCTGCTCTTTTGAAGTAACGAGAAAGTCCGCAGGGAGCCAAACAGGCTGGCGTGTGTACTGTCTCTCTGGAGACATCCGATGCATCCGATGAAGTGAGCTGTAGCTCACGAAAGCTTATGGTCAAATAAATTGGTTAGTCTCTAAGGTGCCACAAGTCCTCCTTTTCTTTTTGCGAATACAGACTAACACGGCTGCTTCTCTGGAGACAGCAGCTGTGGGTCATTTCTGTGGGTCTCCTGGCAGAGAGACCGGACTCTGCAGAGAGGCATCTCCGGGGAGCTCGGGAACGGGGTTCACTGAGTGTTACCAGGAAGGCTAAGTCTGGCAGAGTCCTGAGGTGGAGGGGTGGACAGACGGGTATGGCAGAGGCTAAGTCACAGCAAAGCTCACCCTTGCTGAGGCAAAGGTAACACAGCGGCTTACGGGTCTGGGTGTCCTAGCAGAGCGTCACACCTGTCCTGGGAGGAGGGCAGTGAGGGGAATCCTGACCCATGTCCCCCAGCTCACTGCCAATGCTTTCCAGTTAGCCAACCCCCCTGCCCCGCCAGAATTTTAGCCATAATTAGGGTTTGAAACTAAAATGAGGGAGGGAATCTGGCTTCGAAACAAAAATCACTGCTCAGGCCAGGGGACTTTTGTTTGACAAATTGCAGCAGAGCTGGTGCCCAGCATGGGAGCAGAGCGGGCCCCAGCCTGGGCAGCTACGTGCAGTGCACTACGGGGCTGCACTCTTGTTAGCCACGCAGGAAACCCGCCCCGGGGCGCGTGCGTGTCCCTCGGCCTGCGGCAACAGACACGCAAAGATGGCCGTGATGAGTACACTCGCCGGGCGGGGGGCACCCTGGGGAGAGACCAGCACTGGGAAGTGAGAGTTACATGGATGCGGGACGCAGGGATGAGGTGCTCCTAATGCCAGCTGACCAGAGCAGGGCCAGCACACTCAGCCCTCGCTGTGAACACGAGGAGGAGCTCCAGCAACGCGGGCGGATGACAGCACAGGCGAAGGGCTGTGGTTTGAGGACGCTGACAGCGGTCGGCCAGAGCACGAGGGGGAGAGACTGAGCCAGGCCGGGGCTGGGGAGAAGCCGTGCCAGAGGAGTGGGGGGCATGCTTGGCATGGAAAGGGAGCACAGCTGACTGTGCTATGCCGTTGGCTGACAGGTCACGCCCAGCCCCGGCTTGGGGCAGCGCCAGCCATCAGCCTGGGCTCTTTCCCAGGTTGGGCAGAGGTTCTTGCCACTCCCAGTTGCGTTGGAGTAAACGCCCACTGCAGATACAGTCATGTCAGAGCCTTCGGCCTGGCGGGGCAGAGTCTGGCCTCAGTGACTCAGGTGTAAATCCGGAGTGAGTGCAGTAAGGTCCGCGGGGTTACCCTGGATTTACAGCCAGCGTCGCCAGGGTCACGCTCTGGCCCTTGCTTTCTGGGCCTGGAGGTTTTGTTTTACCAGTTTACACCAAGCCCCCCCTCCTCCCCCCGCCAACTCTCCCGAGTGCGTCAGAGGAGTCTCTGACCATGAGAGCAAGGGAGCTATTAGGCCAGGTCAGTCACCGTGTGCTTCAGAGGGTGGGATAGATGCCGCTGCCTGGGGCCTCATGGCAGGCGGCTCTCAGAGTCCGGTGTCTGGAGGGTGGGAGAAGATGTTAGTGAGCAGACAGAGGGGAGTTTGATTGGGTCAGTGATATTTATTGTCACTTATTCTTCATATTGCTGTAGCACCTAGGAACCCCAGCCCTGGGCCAGGACCCATTGTGCAAGGCGCTGTACAAATGCAGAGCAAACAGAGGGTCCCTGGCCCACGGGGCTCACATTCTAAGTATTGGCCAAGAGACAACAGGTGAGTACAGACAGGTCAATGGAGAAGCACAAGGAAACGACGAGACCATACTGGTCAGCACGATGAGCAGTGGGGTCAGCTCCGGAGTGGGGAGATGGCTCGAGCCGTGATAAGTGAGGGATTCCAGCCCATACTGGAAATGGGGGGATGGCAGCGGGGAGGGTGTCGTGCCATAGGGATCAGGGAAGAGGCAGACACTGGGCACTGCTGTGGGGGTCAGAGTTATGGGTGGTGAGAGGTGAAAAAACAGGAAGGTCCATGCTCCATAATGAACAGCATGCAGTGTGGGAGCACAGGGACGTGCCCCGCTGCTGATTGCGCGGCAGACATGCACCGATCCAGCCCAGACCTCGGGCCGCACCATTTCCAGGGCACCAGGCGTTCGGATTGGGCCCGGTTTTTCCTGAGTTTCCATGCAGTACAATTGTTTGCCTGAATTGGGCTGACTGGTTCTGCAAGCTGCTCGTGGGTTTGGAGCCTGATTCTATGGCCAGCTCTGCCTCAGGGCTGACGGGAGCGGGAGCTTGGGGGGACGGGGCACCCCCATGGACACACACTGCCACAACACACCTGTGTCACGGCTGGGCACGAGCCCCAGCAGAGGCAGTGTGCGGCCATTTCAACTTAGCAAATTTTAAAGGGAAAGTGGTTCGGCAAGAGGGTCCGTACCCCTCAGCCACCGCCCCCAGCCTGGGTTGGGGAACGAGGCCCAGAACCCGGGGGGTCCCACACAGCTCAGGGCTTCACGCCGCTCAGACTCGCTTTGCCCTAGAGACAGGCCCCACCAGGAGCAGCCCTGGTCCCAGGCGCGGCGGAGAGCTGGGCTC